AGCCGGGACGGAGCACGCCGGGTTCTCACCGGACCAGGCTCTCACATCACCAAGCGCGAAGCGCGGTGAGATATTCGGTCAGTCGCCGCATGATGGGTGCGCTGCATCCTGCTAAGGGTGTTCGGCATCTTGTGCTTACTTCCTTGCGTACGGATGACAGCTGCGTATGACTCAATATATTTTCTGGTGCTTTCACTTCCAGAGACAGTTGTAAGCACTGCGTAACTGCCTCAAGGGTGCTTGGCCATTTGAACACAACGTTGTGCGATCATCCGCCCTGCGCGGAGTGAGGCTTCTCCACCCCGCACAACATGATCTACTCGTGGGGGCGGGGGGGGACATGAACGGGGGTCAAGGATAAGCGGCAGTGTTCGGCCCGAAGCACACATCGCGACAAAGTCAAGCCGGGGATACCTCTGGACCTTAGCACGTACAGTATAATACGACGGGTGTTGAAGGTACCCATCCCCCCTCTAGCTTACTCCCCCGGCCTTGCTGTTGACGAGATTCAAGAGCAAACGCCTTTCGCAGTCTACTGTATACGGCTGCGGGATGACATCAAAGCGCTGTCTCCGTGAGATACACACAACAAAAAATAAACATAGCAGCCATGGCACCAACCGCCCTCACCATCTCGAGATCCATTCCACGAATAGGTCCGTGCATGTGACGAGACTCCCGGACCGACTTGAACCTTTTTAAGGCGGGCCGGCGGGTAGGGGCGGGGGGGGGCACGGCACCGCCCATGAGGGTTGAGGATGTGAGGGCATTATGGGGAGATGAGAAAGTAGGGATGAGGACTTGTGGGGGAAAGGCGCCACAAAAAACGAAATAAACACTCCAAAGAACATAAAAAGAAAGAAACGGGCGCTCGCTCCAAGTCAGCCGTGGAGGGGGCGGGGGGGCGGGGGGGGGACGGCGTATCTCCGAGCTACAGTATGGGGGGTACCTGCGGGTTTGTTTCCTCCTTGTACACGGATAAACCTTGGATACAACCCCTTCAACATCAAAAGAGGCCGGGAACGATCATGTACTAACGTGCTGACAACAGCTACATCTAGGAGGTTCACGCGGCACCGCACGACGGAACGCAATAATGCACGGAGCGACGCTCTCGCCAGCAAGAAAAACTTATATGTGACGGGCGCCGGAGCTTGACCGCCGGGGCTGCTACAACTGCGTATCCTACCGTAGCGCGGCGGTACCCGTCTCCCGCCAAAATAATGGCAAAAGCAATACCTGTCGTTGGTAGGGGCAACCGGTTAATTGGCAAGTCGCGGCCGTCTCAATCTTGCGGGACACGCGCACACAAAGGCGACTCAAGCCTTTGCAACGGCCAACACAACCTTGCGGGACACGCGCAAACACACACACCTAGCGTAGCGACCTCGCTCTCGCGGGTCTTCGGCCGGGCCATCCCAGGCCAGCGCGTTCATGGAGTGATCGCGTCCCGAGGCGGTCGACGGTGCTGCTCTGCCGCGGCCGTCGCCGCCGGCGCGACTTCTAGGGCCGGCGTGTCTGGAGACCTCCGATACCACCGCCTTACCCGTGTACGGCAGGGAAACGCCAACCATCTCGAACAGCTGGACGGTTACACAGGGCGGGCGAGGCGAGGGAGGGGGGGGTACGTTGACTGGCTCCGCCGGGAAAGGCGAAACTGTTTTGTTTTTTTTCCGATCAACACACCAAGAAGGAGAGAGCGAATGAGAGATGTACAGCGGGAGAGGGAGAGGGAGAGGGAGAGGGAGAGAGAGAGAGAGAGAGAGAGAGAGAGAGAGAGAGAGAGAACGGAAGCAATGTAAGACGAGACTGCCTTGGTTGGGCAGGGTAAGGCATATCATGGGTAGCAGTCATGACACATATCGGGGGATACAATAGCTATTGCGCAGCTGGATTGATCATGTGCATCGGTGCAAGTAGCATTAACGGCACGTCTCGGGGGACACAACAGAGCAGCCGCATCGACTACGGTACGACTGAGAGTTGGTGGGAGAAGAATACTCGATCCAGTCTTCTGACGCCGTATCTCCCTCAAGGCAGCACTGCTCTGTATTGCAGACGGGCCTCCGCCACGTCCACCATGTACGTAACCCAAGCAGCAGGGGTAGCGGCTAGCCCACCACGTATAGCAGGGCCGGCGACGACGTTCGAAAGGCTTTAAAGCTCCGTCGATGACATTTACCGACAGCAGTTAACATACACTCTATTGGCAACAAACGGAGGCGGTACCCTTGTATGTACGCAGTCTGCGCGACCTCCCTCTGGGGGGAACTATCGGACAGGAACCTATTGATATTTTGTTCTTAATTAAAGCACGACGAACCCATTTCTATCCATAGGATCAACCTTCTATTTAGTCATACCGTACAGTCCAATCTCCGCGACCTCCCTCTCGGGGGGTTCCACGAACAGGAAACTTGTTTCTATCATATGGTCCAGTCTGCGCGGCCTCCTTCTGCGGGGTACCCGCGGACAGGAACCTCTTGTTCCTTTCCTTTCCAACTGCTATCATGATACGGTCGGTGCCTCCTTTTATTGAAACCCACACACACTGCTAACACACCCTGCACCTCAATCTCGGGGGTGTCGGCCCCTATCTCGAACAGCAGCGGGAGGTTCCACACATTCTGGACGTCGAAGGTGCGCAGCTCCGGGCATCCGGTAACGGTGTGGTTGAAGTACACCTGCTGCTGCCGCATGCGGTTCTTGACGAACACCTGGAAACAAACAAAAAAGAGCGAGCGTGGCGATTAATGTCCAACAGCGGGGAAATATTTCTGGAAGAGAGCTGACCGACCCTCGCAACTCCAAAATAGGGCGGGTGTACGACGCGAGAGATGACCTCGGTGCTCTCCTTTCTGTTCTTATGCAACATAGCTGTAGTAAATTGTTATCCCTGTAAGGGCGCAGAGTAATTGGCCGTCCAAACGGGCGCAGAGTGATTTGGCCGGGCACATTACCGGGCACCCCCGGCAGTACAAGACAAACTTGAATATTCCCATCTTCCTTGCGTCACCACGCGATTTCACCGGCCTCAATACAGGGCGACCGGCCGTATTCGCGCGGCTTAATACAGGGATCACTATTTACTACCGCCGTTCTCTGCACCACCGCAACTAATACTACATAGCTGGAAAAACTCGCAATACACCGCCGTAGCGCACATGTGCACAAGACTTGGACGGGAAACGACCCCCCGGTGTTTGCCATCGGGGTTGGGTTATCGCTTGGCAGCGATGTTATCAAACAAGCCGATCACTTCGTGAGCTTGCCCCTCGGTGTTTGCCATCGGGGTTGGGTTTTCGTCGCTTGGCAATGACGTTGTAAATCAAGCCAATTCACGAACTCGGCAACCAGGTTACCATTTTCTTTTTTTTTACTTCTGTTTTCTCTTTTTGGCGGTAACCATAATGGTGGTCGAGTAGATCATGTTGTGCGGGGTCGAGAAGCCTCACTCCGCGCAAGGGGGATGATCGCACAACGTTGTGTTACAATGGTCAAGCACCCTCGAGGCAGTTACACAGTGCTTACAAGTGTCTCTGGAAGTGAAGGCACCAGAGAATAAATTAAGTCATGCTGTCATCCGTATGNGAACCCGGCGTGCTCCGTCCCGGCTTTGTAGGGATGCGAGGTCAATGGTCTACCGACTACGGCATGCACGACTATGACTACACCCCCCCGCCCCCCGGCAGAAACGCGCGTGGAACTCAACCAGTAGGATACCAATCGTGGAAACTAATACGGGAATTGGTAGGAGGAAGGGGGAAGTGTTACGACCTCCCTCTCCATGTCACAGAAAAAAATAAAATTAAAAACTCGCGAAGCGGCGGTCCAACTCGACGACTCACCTTGTAAAAGTGCGAGTGGTAGAGCACGTGGTGGGTGTCCGTGTTGCTCGCTGCGATCTCCACATCCGCGTGGCCGTGGGGGTTGTGGGCGTTCATCACCGTCAAAGTCTTCCGGTACTTGTAGTTGATCTTGCGCGGCACGTACTCGACCTTCATCTCGGCCTTGCCGTGCGCGGGGATATCAAGCCTGGCCGGCTTGCAGCTAACCGCCTGTGCGGGGGCGGCNGCATGTCTTAGCGGTTAGACCGTTGACCACGCGTCCTCGAGAGGACGGAGCATTGTTCCCACAGGACCGATCACCGATGGCCAATCGTTCCTTTCTACTCTGCCAAAGGTGGCTCAACAATGTCTTCCCCAGTCTGTCTATCCTAACGATATCCCTTCCCGCTTTTTCAAACCACTCTCCGCAGTACAGCTACCGTCCTTCCTCTATTTTCCATGCCTCAAACATCTCCCTGTACGTCCCTTGTATTTTTCCCAGCTCAGTCGTGTACACCTCCCTCTCCTTCTTGTACAACGGACATTCCACGACTACATGAACACGGTCTTCGCATTCGAAGCCGCAATCACATTTGAACTCGTCGTCTTCGTCGTCTACCGTCCTATTTCTCCGTCGTTCTCGAAATCCTGTGTCCCCGGTCCCGAATTTGACCTTAAGCTTTGTTCCTGCATCCATTGGTCGATGTAGGTAATCCTCGAACCCTATCCTTCCTTCAACCTTCCGTACACTTCTAGACCCTCCTTATCCTTGGTTTCTTTCCTTATGTTCTGTCCNAATTTGACCTTAAGCTTTGTTCCTGCATCCATTGGTCGATGTAGGTAATCCTCNGTTAGACCCTCGGGGGGGGGGGGGAGGGTACCCATGAATCGGGGGTACCCATGAATCCTTTCCTTGCACGACATTGTAGGGTGTAGGGCACCGTCTTGCATCCATGCGCCAACAGGCACAAGCCTGTAAACGCTTGACATGTTCACGGCTAGGTTGATTTGACAGTAGGAACTTGGCCGCCCAATTCTCTCACAGATGTGGCGAGATGGGCTGCATCATTGGGATGACATTCCGCGACTACTTGGCAGAGGCAATATTTGTACCCCAAGCGGAGATCATCGGTAAGAGGTTCTCGCCGCCAAGGGGGGAGGGGGGGAGGGCATCACGCCATAAGTGAGTACGTGAGCAGTGGCCTATGGGGTGGCTGACTGCTGTCCGCCTCGTGTGGTCACGTGTTTTCCGAATCCCTCGTCGCGGGGCTGAAACACCGCCGCCGTCTTTACCATGCGGATGAAAGCTCTATGTTACTTGCCGTACATTCCCGGGGCAAAACCCGCAACACATTCGTGCGGCAACAGCGAAAGAAAAAAAAGCTCTCGGGGAAAATTAACGCCAACCGTGAGGCAACAAAAATCAACCCTACCTTGGACTCGACATGGGCGATTGCGACGGCCGCCATGTCGCTGAGGTTCGAAATCTCCAAGCTCTGGCTCTTGTACTCGCCTTTTTTCGTTGGAGCGCGGGGGGGGGTTATGCCATGTACGAGTAGCAGAACGCAAAAATTCCATCACTGCAGCTGATGAGCAAGGACAAGTATAAGGTGATTGTTGCTGTTTGATCAACGACAACGCGACGACCGACAGAGGAAGCATGATGCTTTCAAAAAGAAGGCAGGCACAGAAAAACCACAAACATTTGTATCAAAAAAGGTTCACCATCACTGTAGGACGTCCGCCAATTCGAAACAAGACACAAGCCGCATCTGGCACACCAAAACACACAATGGAACAACGCATTCCACCGCACCACAGCAGTCCTCTGATCCATGCACCAAGTTTCCACCAACAGCCTCCTATAAACCGACCCCCCCCCATCTCCTTGTGTAACCCTCCACAGACCACGAACAGCTCAACTTACCGATGTTGCAATTCCCGAACGAGATCTCTCGAGGCACCACCGACAGCACCGAGGTGCACACCATGGCTCGCCCCGCAATGTTCTTGGAGAACTGCCGGACGTCCGACCCCACGCTGGGCTTTCGCCGCAACATCTCCCCCGAGTGCGCGAAGCCCTCGACATCCACCGCGTCTCCCTCTAGCAGCGCTGGAACCACCAACATTGTCGGACAGCGGCGGTAGCAACGACGAGGCTCAGCGTGATGATGAAGGGGGTAGGCTACGGGAGGACACCTTGCACACTTTTACGGGGCCTCTCGCGGACCCCACCAATAACAGGTTCTCCGACCAAGCAGCCGTCCGTACGGGTGTTCTACTCCCCCATTACACCCATCAGTAGTGTAGCAATGCCGTAATCAAAAACGAACACAAAGGTCTGGACGGGGAGAGGCGAAATGCTGCCAGCGTGCAAGCAGCAGCAGGGTTGCGACGCCTGGGCAAACAGGGGCTCCATCGGCGTCCGCTGCGATAGACACAACAACGACGGGGAGCTGGCTGCCATCCCAGTCGCGATGGAACAAGTCGCCACCCTAGCACGGCACGCGTCGAAAGCCGACCGGGGTCTCTCGAGACTATGGTCACTCTCCTTCAGTGGAGCACGAGCGAGCCGCTTGGCCAACGCTCGTCCCAATCGAACGCGCCGGCTACCCAGCTTGTTGATCCCCGACCATCAAAAGAAAAATAGGGCAAGGCAAGGCCGACGGCTCGTTCCAATCGAACGCAACCAACTACAATCTTGTTTAACCCCGACCATAAAAAAAAAAATACGGTACGACCGAGGGTTCATGATCGAAACCAGCACGACGACTACCGTAGGTGATATTACACAAGATAACACACCCCCTGGACCGATTTTCAAAGCTCAGTATTCTCCACAGCAGAAGAAAGAGTAGCAGCGCGGGAAACGGCGGCGTTGAAGCCACCCTCGTTGAGAGCGTTCCGAAAATGTATCGTTTCATTCGTGTAACCTCTTCGTCGTGGAGCTTTGAAAATCGGTCCAGGGGGTGTGATATCTTGCGTCACCTACAGTAGTTGCGACGAGAGTCCACCAACAGAAACGCACTGCAATGTACTCTATTGATGCGAAACATATGCAATGTCTTTCTGTTTTCTTTCGTTAGGCCACGGCCACGAGCTGGTGGCTTTGCTTGCAGAGTCTTTCCCTTTTGCTCATGGGCTGTTGTGATAACCTGGGGATGCGACCAGCCGATGTGCAACGCACAGCACGCATGCGGCTTAGTCATCAATTCCCGGGCCAAGCCTCACCATCGTCCCACTGCCCTCGAGGCTCCTGGCAAGCGAAGAACAACTTGAAGGCCTGCTTCGTGAGCTTGGTGCCGCGGGCATCGTCCGCGTTCCTCGCCATCCTCGCACACCCTCTCTCCTGGGACGATACCGTCCTCTTCGACGGGGTGGCGGCACCGCTGCTAGCGCCAGCTGCTGCTAGGGGGTGGGTGGGTGGGCGACCGTGTTCAGGACTTAGGTGGAGGAGCAGTAGAGCAGCGATCAGCGAGCTTTCGGCACCGCCGCTAGCGCCAGCTGCTGCTGCTCTGGGGGGGAGGGGGCGACAACAGTTTCCGAGGTTTCGGCAGAGGAACAGCAGCGACTTAGGTTACAAGCAGCGGGCTTTCGGTAATGCCGCTAGCGCCAGATGCTGCTGCTACGGTGTGGGGGGCCGGGGCGACGGTGGCCGGGGTTTAGGTAGAGGAGCACTAGAGCAGCTTAGGTTTGCGAGCAGCGGGCTTTGGCACCGCCTCTAGAGCCAGTTGTACGTCGGAGCAATGTTCCCACAGGACCGATGGCCCATCGCCCCTTCCTGCTTTGCCAAAGTTGACTCAAAAATGTTTTCCCTATCCTGTCTACATCACTTCTCGCTCATGCAACGGGGTGTGTGTGTGTACTCAGAGCTGTGAATGCCGCAGTCGTTCGACCGTTGACCTCACATCCCTACCTAGCCGGGACGGAGCACGCCGGGTTCTCACGAGACGAGACTCTCACATCACAAACGCGGGGGGGGGGGGG